GGATGGCTTGGAGGAGGCAGGGGTGGTAGCAGAGGCCGGCTACAGGGGACGGTGCGGTCCTCGGGGTGACAGCGAGTTGTGGGATGGCGCTGCCTCCGCTCGGCCGCCTTTTCCTTCTGGGCTGGATACTCAGGGGGGGAATGTGAATTCGGGACTCGCTCACGCGGTGCTGGCGATAACCGCTGGCAGGGGCGATTCTGAAACGCGAATTGAGCCTCCCAGACCTCTGCCGTCTGCGTGCCCAGCCGCTGCCAGGTTGCCACCGGGTTCCTTGCAGAGCAAGAACGCGACTGTTGATTGTACGTTGAAAGAGCCTGTCATGTTCCCAAAGCAGAGCCTGCATCCTGCTAGGAAGGAGCCCTTATGCATCAGTATATTGGTCACCAAGACCGAGAAGGGGTGCAGGAAAGAGAAGCTCTCTAACTCCGGCTCTAGTGAAGATCCGCTCCCAGGGAGGCTGTTTTTTCTCCAGGCTGACCAGCCTGCTGCTCACGAGCAAGAGCCGCTACGGGAAAGTCCCCAAGAAAAGCCGGGAGAAGTAGCCCAAAATGAGGAGGAGGAGGAGGAGGATGCTTTGGCATCTGACAGATCATGCGTCAGAAACGGTGTCCCTACAGAGCCATCCGCCCTTTCTGTTCCTCCGACAGAAGGGGCTTTGCAAGTACTTGATGCTTCCTGCTTGAAAAGGCAGGTTTCGCATGACTTTCTGGAGACCAGGTTTAAAATCCAGCAGCTTTTGGAGCCTCAGCAGTATATGGCCTTCTTGCCTCACCACATCATAGTGAAGATCTTCGGATTGCTTCCTACTAGGAGTCTGGTTGCCCTAAAATGCACTTGCTACTACTTCAAATTCATCATCGAATACTACAACATCAGGCCAGCAGACTCCCGCTGGGTCCGCGATCCCCGCTACCGAGAAGACCCTTGCAAGCAGTGCAAGAAGAAGTACGTGAAAGGGGACGTATCGCTGTGCCGGTGGCATCCCAAACCATACTGTCAAGCTTTACCCTACGGGCCTGGCTACTGGATGTGCTGTCACCGGTCTCAGAAGGGCATCCCGGGCTGTAAGCTGGGCCTTCATGACAATCATTGGGTTCCCGCCTGCCACAGCTTTAACCGTGCTATCCACAAGAAAACCAGAGGAGCGGGAGCCGAAGTGGAGGAGGAATATTAGTGCACATACACTTTCCTGCGCGATTGTTTTGGGGTAGGAGGAGATTCTCATGCCTTGTGCTGTTTACAGTGTATATAATTGTCGTGGGTTTTTTTTTTCACAGGGCTATGAAACTGCACATACTTAAACACAAGAGCCTTTACCTTTTAGATTAAAGATAGCTTTTAGTCCATCTATGTAAATAACACTATAAAAACTAATTGTACATACAGAGTCTACAGCTGGCTGAACAACGTAATCACTACAATGCAGCTATGATAGTGTTGCGGCTATAGTTGTGTGTGTTTTTAAGTGTCTTGTTCCAAAATCTGTATATCCTGTATAATATATGAATGTTTCTGAGAAGAAACTCTAAATAGGTAAAGGTCAACTTGTTTAAAGAATCTTCAGACAATTTAACTGGACAACCTTAAAATTAGACTAGAACAGATCCATTATAGTAGTGTGGCAGTGGATTAAAAAAAAAAAGAGGAATATTATGGTATAGTCAGAATATAAAAAGTTGTTGTCTGTTTTTTTTTTTTTACTCAAATAAAATGTGCATTCTAGATCTGCCTTACCAGACTTTCTCTTGTAAGAGTTTTGCCCCAAAATAAAAATACTGTAAAACACTTGGCAGAAACGTGGTACTGTGACGTAGTTCAGCCCTGCGGTGTGCTTCCTGTAGCAAACTAGTCCTCCCACTAAAAAAGAAACTAAACCACCCCAAACGTGGCTTACTCGAAGAACTTCCTGCTGTAACGTTCACCAATTCCAGTTTTTCCTTTCTCTGTCATCAGCCGTGTGTGCAGCAGAGGTTTGACAGAGGTTCCTGGTGTCTGGAAAGCTGGGGCTGGGTGTGTAAAACTTGCAAAAACGGGGCCTTCCCCCGTTGGAGTCCTGCTTCTCTTCGTGTGTTGGCCCCTGGATGCTCCAGGGTGGCGCGTGGGGCCAGCAGGGTGAAAGCGGAGTGGCCTTGGCTCAGTGATGTCCTGGAAGCTTTGCCGTCCGCTGTAGATGGGATTTTTCCCGTGGAAGAGGAATCCTTGCGTTGCTTGGCTCTGCTCCGCTCCAGCTGCTGGCATCTTGATTCCGAGGTGCGAGTCGGTGCTTTCAAAGGGGAGTTGTGGATGTTCCTGTTGGAAGTGCAAAGGGCAATTCCTTGAACTCTGAGCGTGGCGTCCATCCGAGTACTTCCTCGAACACGTTCCTCTCCTGCAGTGCTGTGTTCCAGCCCTCCTCACGCCCAGCTCGCTGCCCAGCGGGGGACAGTTTGGAAGTCTGGGAACGTACCCTGGACAACCCAGCAGCCGCGTTC